GCCTCCATCAGTCACTTTTTTGAGTTCATATGCAACCAATAAACAAGTTGCAGCCTGATTCTCAGATGGTGTCCTCTTCTCTCCTGTGGCAGTTTAGCAGTTAAAGTACACAACGTGGTAACAACATTTGCATTTTGGTCGTGGATGTTCTGACTTCTATTTTTTTCGTTTACAGTCCTAAACTGTTTATTCCTCCAAAGATTCCTATAATCATGCGTTTTGGGTTCCGGTTAGCACAGGCTCAAGCTATTTTAAAACTATTATTTTGAGATCGTACACTTGCAATGTACATTGCGCCGTCTTTCACTCAAAAGATGCTCTTCAACGTTGTTGAATGACCTGCAGTTTCTTCTCGTGCCCATTTTGATACACAAATTTAATATTTTCTGGTCATACTCTGTCATAGGAAATACAAACAAATGTTCGAAACTGTGACGTTAAATTTCGGTTCCAACAAGACACATTTGTAAGAAAGATAAGGTTATAAAAAACATTCACGCTTTTGCTTTTGCTTTTGCTTTTGTGACGGGTTATTTGAGCTGCCAGATATTTTTGATGACCTTTGTTAATTGGCCCGATAAAGACTTGAGACCCGTTGCCGATTCCGTTTCATTCGGTGCCGATAAAATCGGGTCCGACCTTTAACGGAATCGGAAAAAATCGGTGCCCAATTGATCGGCATCGGTGTGACCCGATGCCGATATTTGGACGCGTTCCCTTACCTGCACCTGGCCTTCTGGACTTTTTTGGGTCATGTCGTAGCTTTAGTTCTTGAGCAATCCAAGGGTTGTAGGTGCTTGACTTCAGCTCAATTTTATATCATCCTTTGAACTGTCTGACTGCTTTGGCCTTGCTTTTATACTTCTTATACAAATCAATAAATTCTAGCTTCTGTTGCGAAACCATTGTTTTCTGCTGTGAAACTGTTACTTTAACCGTTTAACTTGTTCTGTCTTCTGACTGGAGGTCTGGCTGGCTTCATTGGCTTCAGGGCTCTGTTTTGCTGGAAACAAGTGCAACCCCAGCGGCAGGCTATCAGCCTCCTTGTCTATTTCAGGCCTTCGTTGGCACATCTGACGAACTCCTACCAATTTCATAGGACCGTTTGAGCTGTTTCAGTTGCACACAAGGTACACACAGATACTTTGCATTTGATGCACTTGTACTTAGTGACCTGTTCACAAACTGAGCATGTTTTCTCCATTATGGAATTGTAGCATGCGTAGCTGCGAAGTTTTTCTTGCACAATTCTTGCCCCGGACCGAAGGTTAGCTGTGTGACTTGTGACTCGACATGTAACAAACAACGAAACCTTGTGTACTTGTCATGCATGCGACGCAGCTGTAACAGTTGTATACCCGTATCTAAATACAACTCTGAACTTTATATACTTTTATGGCCATTACATTTAAGCATTTCTGTACCATCAAGTCACATATAAAAGGAGATCATGTATATAAAGCTGACCCACGGATTAATTCAAGTTGTGGTTGCTTTCACTGAGCCAGGAAATGCTCACTTGGGGCGTGCCATTATCGTCAAGATGAAAGAAAGTAGCACACATCATACAGCGGAGCAAACAGCAGGGCAAGTTCCCAATTCGCTGGCTGAAATTCTTTATCAGCCTGTAGTTGATGCCAAAATCATTATCAATTCTAAGATCACTGAACAATACAGGAGTGCTCCAGAAGGCACTTGGGTCCAAGGAGGAGGACTGGAGCTTCCTTGCTTGTATGAAGTTTTCTTGAGAAGTAGTAGCCTTCCAGATTTAAAAGCATCATTGAAAGAGTAACTGTCTGCCCTCAAGCATAATTCGGATGGAACAGCCTGAGTGCAGGATTACGGTAATCAAAGTACAGAATCATTTGCGATTTTAGTTTGAGCTTTTAACTAAATCCTGTTTGAACCAGACATACGGGTATAAAAACCAATAAAAGCTGTCATCACAGTTGTCATATAATACAAACAATATTTTTGACGTATAGTATACGAACATTTGAGCCTTTTGTTACGTTTTGCTTTGTTTACATGGATAATGAATACCGTAACCACCATGCAACCTGAATACCTTTTTTAATGTCTGTTATCTGTCCTCTTTGTGTAAACCCACGGCTGAATTACAAACGTTTTCTAATCATCCGAAGGTAACGGCTACCTGAAAGTAACAGGCCTCTTTGGCCTGCTAAATCCGAAAATAACGTGGGCTGTATTATTAGAATTCTACAGTATAACAAGATAGAGCTAAGGAATTAACTTTATAACTAATGATTAACACAAAGTAACGTTCCTTTAAGGGTGTGAACAGCAAGAAACACCAATAAAATGTATGCGAAGGATATGACTATAATCCTGCGTTACAAAATTTGCAATGTTTAATTTTGGGACTCACAGATTTAATATTAGGTTTATGGGCTCCAACCACGAAACGTCTGCAAGTCTTCTTGGGTATAAAAATCTATGAGTTGATTAACGTAGACATCTTAATGGCCATTAAGAGCCTGAAACAAGAAGGTGTCATGGAAAATGAAACGCCTTTGCTCAAGAGTTAGAGATTGAGCTTACTTAGAAGGACTTTGTGTTGTTCATTCATTTTCATTCATTTTCATTCATTTTTAGAATGAACCTGGTTGCTCTTTTGACATCCCTGCAAAACATAGTCTGACCAAAATCGCGAAATTAAGTAATAGTAATACATGAAAAGTGGATTGGTTATATGAACAGAAAGCTTGAAGGAGTATGTTTTATTGCCCGATCTTTTCTTGCTTTTTTAACAAAACTTAAGAGGCAGTCTCAGTAAAAACCGCCCACTCAATTTCGCGTGAAAAATAATTTTGCCTGAAACTCTGGTGGATGAAAGCCTTTATTGGGACTATAACTAAAATAGGTTTGCTTTGATTCAAAGTTATTTTCTGGCCGCGCTAAGAAGCACGAATTTTTTTTGCCCGCCATGGCCATATTGCGGGGCCCAAAAATTGAAAATTTGGCATTTTTTGGAGCGCTGTAAAATTTTTTATTCGCAACATCTCGAAATAAATTAAACACCTATTTACTGATAAATGTCTTCAGTTTTTCTAGATATTAAGTATTTCTCCGTAAACGTACCCAGAAAGTTGAAATCAACCAAAATATGACCCCTATAAAATGCCCTCGAACAGACAGCCAAAAATGGCCTTAGTTTAGAAGCATATTTCTACTTTTTGGGACAGAGTTGATTATTCTAGACTATAGAGCCGAAAAGATTGTTCCTTAATTGACAAGAATTTACAAGAACCCGTGTACGATTTCAGTATTTCAAAAGTTATGACCGTTTGAATTAACGAACATGTCAACATTGAGCGATTTGTCGTCCATTAATACTCTGTGAAATAATAAATCCACCTCAAGAAAATTTTGCGGTCAGTGTAAAACGCAGACTGCGGACAGCAGACTGCAGACTGCGGACCAGGGGTAAAATGCAGACTGAGTGTAAAATGTAGACTGCAGACTCAGAGTAAAATGCAGGTTGGGGTAAAATGCAGACCGAGCATAAACTGTAGTCGCGGAAGGGTTTAAGGGCAAAACAATCCCGCAAATACATGTAAATGAACACTTACTTGACATCTACTTTCACAAATCCATTCCTTTCTTCTGAGGAACCTCTTCACGATCCGAAAACATACTAGTAATCGCAATCTTGAACCTTTTTCCGTCCGAGAGACCTCACGCTTCAACTTTTTCGATAGGCGTGACCATGAATTGGTACAACACCACGATGTTTACGCTTAAATAAAAGCTGCTGACCCAAAATACTGTACAGAAAGAATTCAAAACAATTATGGCGACAAAAAAGAGAGTAAATCATTCCAACAACAAAAGAAGATGTTCTGCAGGAAATTTGGATGACCTTCTATGAAAGGATTGAAAATCAAGGTACGCAGACTTTAGCTGTTTGGATGTTCCTTGAACTTTTGGCGAATATGCAATGTACTAACTTCGACTAGGAAGCGAGGTGTGTAACTGATACCAGCTAGCTATTTGGAGAAGAAGGAGCACAATTGTTTGTGAAGTCTACAATCTTCATTCTGCATTTTGCACCCAGCCTGCGTTTTACTCTCAGTCTGCAGTCTGCATTTTACACTCTATCTGCATTTTACCCCTGGTCCGCAGTCTGCAGTCTGCAGTCCGCAGTCTGCGTTTTACACTGACCGATTTGTGAAAAGGACGGCTTACCTACAAACTGAGCCATATTCTGATCCGAAGGAATCTTGATTTCATCAGAATCCGGCTAAAACTGCCTTGAAAATAGCTGTCGTTCGCCTAAAGTAGAATTCCTTGCAGATTCCAAAACGGCTCGGATACTGAAACAGGCGCAAATCCGTGGTCACGTCTAACGTTTCTCGGTAATTAGCCGGTAAAACATCCGTTGATAGCTAGTTTGCTTGAGGATCAGAAAAGAAACAAATCGACGTTCGTTTTTGGAAACGTAAATAAGGATTCGATTGCTTCAAATTCAGATAACAGTTCCTTGGAACTCTCTCTATAATAAAAAGGTCACGTAGTGTTTTGACCGAAATAGGATTCCTAGCGGAAATATGGAATCCTGGAACTAGGAAAACAAGGCATGGAATTCACCACCCAGAATAGTGCATTTATCAACGGAATTTAATTACGCGAAAGGCGTGCTTACAAAAATATTGTTTTAACAACTGATACTGTAAATAAACCCATAACGTATAAAAGAACGACGTTTTTAAGTGTTACAAGAAATGATAAGTTAAAGAAGTTGGTTGTTAGGAGTTATTCAAAATACAGTAAATCACGTGTTCACTTGGGTGCTGTTTTTCACTAATTTGTAACGACTATCGCCTGCCAAGCTTCCTCAACTCACAAAACATTATACTTTATAATTTTGCCGTTGACTATTGCAGAATACCTTGAAAATGGCTAGCCTGAGAAAACAGCCGACATTTTGCGACGCCACCACTGGTTTCACATTTCACACGGTAACCAGTGGCGGCGTCGCGATATGTAAATCGTGTGGTTTTATGCTAACAAGTGTTTTTAAGCAAAATTTACATTAGAAAAGAGAGGATGTTTCTATCAAGACAATGTCAACCTCAGCCTCACGTTCACTCAAAGGCTTGGACACAAAGCCCTCAACTGTGAATGGCCTATTGTAACTACTTCTACAACTGAAGATATTTAAATTGTTACGAACTTCTACAACTGAAGATAGAATAAGTTTCCAAAACATGTCTTGTAAATTGAAAATTGTTGAGTCATTTCTTCAGATAATAATTTATATAATTTTTCATATAACATTAATGTTTATTATTTCACTTTTTTCCCATTTCAAAAAAGTAAAGAGCAGGGAAATAGGGTATGACAACTTGCCGTATAAACTTGTTTGAACGGACGGGCAGGGTTGAACGGCGGCCGGAAATAACGTCACCATGTGTAAAAATACTGCTTTTGCTAAGTTCCCTGTAATTTGACTTACGTAACCCTGCTTACGACAGCACAACACAACAGGTAGGAATTTAAGGAAACGCTTTACATTGCTTTAGTGAGACACACACTCGCATTCACTTATCATGACTGTCAGTTTGTCTAAGAGGAATTTCTTTTTGTCCCTCGATTTCACAGGAATCTCAAAATGGTTGCAGATACTCCTAAGCATGGCTACATTGAATTCTTGGAGCGTGTTGCTATGATAACGCTCACACAGGTCATAACTGTCAAAACAGATAGGATGTGCGACGTTAATTTCTTCATTTACTGTGTTAATCAGATCCTCTCTTTCTGAATATTCCTGCAAGCACTGTATGTCTTCCTCCTTTTCCGTTGACAAGCCGACAACACCCTGCTCTTTACGACGTGCTGCTGCCATCCGCGAAAAAAAGCTCTGAACTTGGTTCTTTGAAAGCCACTCAGATCTAGTAAACAGGCGTTCATTAGACTCATTTTTTGCATTTCGCATGTCTGCTGCAACCTGGCCGGGGTCAGCCTTACGCCCTGTTCTTTCTCCTATTGTGAAACGTGCTGTTAGGTATTCTTTGACCTTTGGCGAAAATCTAACGCTACTTCTCGGTTTGCTTAAGGCCCAACCTGTTTGCAGAGATGATTTGCTTGAAGTGACTTCTGAAAACGTTGGCGGTCCCCCGGAAGGCACTGAATACATTTCGGTGTCAGCAGGGTTATCTACAGATGAGAATTTCAGTGCCCAGTCCCTTCTGATGACATCATACTGGTTTAACCTGCTGGCAGTATGTTTACCGACATCAAGATGCAGCTCTAACTGCGCAAAGGATTCAAAGGCCTCGTTGCAACCGAGCTTTGAACATTCAAACAGTGGTGTACTACTCTCAGTACTCTTGCTAGCTTCTGAACTGGGTTTTACCTCTCGTTTTCCAAGTGGTACATAGAATTCTTGGGATTCCACTGTTTGGAGAGCGGTTGGAACCTGATTGGTGACATAAAGCATTTCATATGGAATGTACTTTCCATCGCCTATACCATAGCATTTCCACACTCTAAGACCATCAGCTTCATATTCAAAGTTATGAAAGCTGCTGAACTGCTCCATCTTCTTTACCGAAAGAGTCTTTCTCGACTCGTTGACTACACAAACCGCGGCAGATGTTCCTTTTACCGGGTGTTGTATTAAGGCATCTCTCATGTCTGCAGCAGTTAAAACATCATGACCTTCGTTGCAGTACATACGGATGGAGGACTTCAGTGGACACAGGATACGATCACAAATATCCTTTCCAGACTGTGGCTCTGAGTAATGATAACTATGTACTGTAACACCAACTCTCTTTGCGATATCTCTTACAGCAGCAATCAAGGAGCTGTTATGATAACAACCAGCCTCATCTGACTTTAAATATGCTCTTTGGATGAGAGGATTCCTGGCTTTTAGTTTTGTCAGAAGGTCTTCTAGAATTGAAGCTACTGAGAACCAATCCTGTGTACACTGATCAAAAAGGTGCGCGTAAGAGATAACCTCAGTTGCGCTGGACATGTCTTTGGTCACGACACTAGTGATGTGCCAGCTGAGCCCTCTCTTGCCATACCAATCAGTTTGTTTTTCTCTGTAACGAAGCTGCAAGAACTTCATAGCCCAGTCCATTACTAGAAGGCACGAATTCTGATCAAGCTCTGCCAGTATATCTTGTTTCGCACATTCCTGGTTTACAGCTCTCATAATGTGGGCTTTCCACTGTACAATAGCATCCGAAGCTTTCTCGATGTCGTACAGGAAGTCTTCTTTCTGTTCTTTGCTGTAAAAGCGTAAGCTTTCACTGTCATTGACGGTTTGTTGCAATTTATGCAAACAGGAAGTGATGTCATCACATTGAGGGCAGCTAAGAGTATGTTCATGTGTACATTTCTCTTGAAAATTTGGATCATTCGGGTCACTTAGACCCAACTTACGGCAATGATCTGGACATGAGCTCTCATTATCTTTGCAATTCTTCTGATATTCTGTTTTCAAATACTTCTTACCGTCCCGAAGAGATCTACTTATATCATCTGCCAAGCTCTTCTCTAGGCCAATATGACCAAGCTCCTCTACTATTCGTTGTAGACGCTCGAACGCCGCTGACCCATCGGCAGCTGTGTTGTCTAAACCACTCAAGGATTTCTGTTGTGAGGCCTCCCGTACTTCGAGAACACGAAATAGACTCGCGCGACTTAGGGGTTCGTATTGTTCTTCTTCACAGAACTTTAGATATTGCCTGATCATTGTTGCTCTTGTTACTTTACGTATGATGTTTGGCATTGTGAGTTTCTCGCCGCTTTTAAGTTTCAGTTTCCTTGTACCAAATGCAACATCTTGATAAAAGTATGGCCGGTTAACAAAGTCTAAGAAATGGTCAAGTTTCGCTGGGAGAAGTCGAACCCTATGAGAAGGCGGCTTTTCTACTAAGGAGCCTGGACTGCATTCCCTTGCGTGAGCTCTAGCGCGTTTGATTTGCCAAGATGTTAGCTTCGCAAATGGTTCGTGGATCCTCTGAAGCGTCCTCGCTGGATATCTATAAGCATAAAGGCTCAGAATTTGAGTCTTCACGTTTCTTGTCTTAGCAGCGTTGTAGGCTTGCATCAGTGGTACAAGATCCTCATAGTCTGCCTTTGTATCAGGAATACAACAGGACTGAAGTAGCTCCTGTGCAGCCTTTGGCGCTATAATCTCACACACGAGGCTACAGGCTTCAGTAGCCTTATCGATGCACACTTCTTTCTCGTGCTCTTTTGCCTCATCCCACGTCGTTTTTAACTGAAACGTTAAGGGACTGACCTGTCTAGTAGTAGAAACCTCATTAAGCTTCCCCATGGCGGCATTGAATTCTGATATGGCGGACTCTGCCACGCTTTCAGCAACATCCTCCTCCCCAGAGCTACAGTCCGAAGGCCTCCACCCCGTCGTCCACTCAGCTGCTTTTGCTGCCGGTGTCACTGAAGGCGTAGAAGATACTGCAGCTGAGATCTTCATAGATGCAATACATTTTACAAGTCTGTACAATTAAGGAAATAAAAATTAACACATACCGGATTCAAGTTTTCTTTTTACTTGATTATTATCCTCATGGTCGTTGAGGCGTCAAATAAAAAAGTTCATAGAATAAAACAAAGAGGACTCGTAATAAGCTGCGCACATAAAACCTGTCCCTATTAAATAAAAATGAAGTGATACGAAACCTTTTCAATACAACACACTAAACAATTTTTTTGTATCTAGAAAGAAATGTGTTTAATTTGGAGTCATTTACGTTGAAATTCATCAATAGTTACATAGTTTATAGCAACGTACTGATACTGATATTTTGCGACGGAAATTATGCACCTTGAAGGGTTATCATCCTGTTCGTTGTTGTCTTCGCCTCCTTTCTGTTTCAATAGAGCATTATTTTCTTCAAGTTTGACTTTGTGTAAGTTAAAGCAAGATACACAGATCACTGAAAATAAAAGTAGCGAAATAATGAGATAAATCGCGAGAAAGGAATGACTGAATTAAAAAAAAAACAAACAACCAAACAAACAGTCACAGAGAGAACAGGAGTTGCGCATCAGGCCCCGGCGCGCTCTTTTCACACCGCACCTCGAAACCGGAGAGCTCTTTAAAACAAGTGTAGAAGACAGAGAACGGCTCAAACGAGCGAAATTCACAGCACTAGAAATTTCTGGTGTTATCAACATGCGTCTATTACAACCTTTCTAGCAGCCTTAACTGCTGACAAACTACCTTATTTTCCTATTACATTATTTAGTCAAATAATGATCATTATTTCATCTTTATCTTTCCCGGGGTATATTACATCGAGCCAGTTCAACTCCTTCCAGTTGACTTGCTAGCTCACTTAGAATGCTTCTCTAGTATCGAAAAGGTCAGGGTTCGAATCCCCTGCAAGCCTGAATTTTTTCAGGCCTTTTTTTCACAACTGTACTTAAAAAGGAAAATTAAAAAACAAAACAACCGATGCTACTACAGTTTATAATTTCGACGGGAAGATCGAGGAAACTTACTGAACAATATATTGGACAAATTGAATTTGAGTGAATTTCGTAGAGACAGAAAGCATACTTAATTTAATTTGCTTTCAGGAGATAAGCTTTTACTTGAGGACGAACTGCAATTGTTCTAGAAAGCCTCGAATGCCCAACAAATAAATATCACAAACCGGCTAGGTAAACAGAGACGTAATTAGATTATGTATTTGCACGCAACTTTTCTGGCGCCTTCCCTTAGACATGTTTCTGCGAAAATGCACAGGAGCTTTAAACAAAAGGTAACCTGGGCAAAATATAGATTATACTCACGGGATCCTATTGGAACGTTCTTTCCAAAGATAAGATTAATTTCCCTTGACATACTTGCGTGTACAGCATTTCTCGTTCTAAGCTTTTTCTTTGGGCCTGGACGATGCAGTGGATACTGGCAGGTTTGACGAGGTCGCCAGTATTTCCCCATGTCGTTTCTGTGTTTTTCACATATCCAGAGCCGCTCAAGTTGATCGAACGAAAGGTCGTGTGCTAGACCTGATCTGTTGAGGATAAGGTCATATTCGAGGAGTTGCCCCTGAAAATGACTGAGGACGTTCAACTTTCGCAATGAATCGTCGATACTGCTCTTGCAGTCTGAAAGTTTTATTAACTTGCCGCCAGACTCGGCACAAACAGATTCACCTCTAGCCTCGAATAAGCACTTACAGAGTTCCATTCCATAAAAAAATAGGGTGGTAAAGATTAAAACTACCAAAAGACTTCCCATGCGTTAACTGTCCTCACCTCACTCGGCTTCTTTTCTGGGCTTTGTCTTGTCCATGATTTGACTGGCTAGCGGTATCATGCATAAAATGGCAGAACTGATTTGCAGCGAAGTTTAGAGGCCATCAATTTTCGATTCTTTTGTCCGTCTATCCTGTTTACTATTTTCACCATTTTATCTGGTCATGAATTTATTCAATTAATTTCCTTTTGCTCGGTATCTTTGATGAAGAAGACCCAAGGAAACATAGTTGGTTTCTTATTCCAGGTTTCTTAATTTCTCCGTTTCCGGTTTCTAGCTAAAGTTGCGTGACTAGGCGTGACATCCCAAGGTTTTACCGGGCTTTGAAGCGAACAAATTTTTATTTTCTCTCCGAAAACGTAGCTGAAAAGTCGATATATTCTGATTCTCGAGCAAATTGCTCTGAATGGTTGTCTCATCAAGGTATTTTAATACAATACACGCGAAACATGAGCCGTATGATCGTTGCATTTCGATCGGAGACATTTTGGATTCAACTTCGCCAGCAATTTTCAAGGCTAAAGTATACTTGATTTTTATGGAATCATGCTTCTCGGAAGTCAGATTTTATTTCATTTGGTCAAACGCTCCTGCCTCGCATAAGGTAAGCCGTAATTTAGACAAAATCTAGTCGAGATAAGTAGTGATGATTTATTACGCTTTAAAGGAAAAAATGGCTAAACCTCGAATGTGCGCATATAAAAACGACCATAACTTTTGAAATACTAAAATCATACACGGGTTCTTGTGAATTCTTGTCAATTAAGGATCAATCTTTTCGGCTCTATAGTCTAGAATAACCAGCTCTGTCCCAAAAAGTAGAAATATGCTTCTAAACTAAGGCCATTTTTGGCCGTCTGTTCGATGGTATTTTGTAGGGGTCATATTTTGGTTGATTTCATCTTTCTGGGTACGTTTACGGAGAAATACTTAATATCTTGAAAAACTGAAAACATTTATCAGTAAATAGGTGTCAAATTCATTTCGAGATGTTGCGAATAAAAAATTTTACAGCGCTCCAAAAAATGCCAAATTTTCAATTTTTGGGCCCCGCAATATGGCCATGGCGGGCAAAAAAAATTCGTGCTTCTTAGCGCGGCCAGAAAATAACTTTGAATCAAAGCAAACCTATTTTAATTATAGTCCCAATAAAGGCTTTCATCCACCAGAGTTTCAGGCAAAATTATTTTTCACGCGAAATTGAGTGGGCGGTTTTTACTGAGACTGCCTCTTAATTACTATTAGAACATCTGACAACCTTTTGCCAATCATAACCTTCATTTCATAATAACATTATATTTATTACATTTATGGTCAAAATTTATTACATTTATTGTTAGTAATCTGAATTTCAGGCATCCCTTCTACTCTTGGGATGTCTGAAATTCAGGCTGGGAAATCTTTTATGCAAGGTTGTATTTTTCGTGGTACTTGTCTGCGAGAACTGCGAATGTAATTAAACTGAACCGTTTTTGTTATTATGTACAAAAGGGTCACGGTTTTAGAGAGAATCTTGTGTCTTGTAATAGTTTCCGCATTTCTTATTTCTCTGTTTGTTGATCAGTTGTTACTCGTGGATGTGTTTTCTCAGCTGTACTATCTAACTTATGCCAAAAAATGACAGTGTTGGACTTACTATTATGAATCGTTGAAATCATGAACAATTGATAATATCGATTTCACACGGCAATTTAGTTCATAGATTTCCATTGATTTTTGTGATCAATCGATAAAAATCACTTGATTGCTATCGATTTTTATAGATACTATTTTTTCTTGATTCGCTATTCCAGGATTATTACATTTATGGGTGATACAATTTCTAAAAATAATCTGCAAACCTGGGCTCCTTCTACTGGAAGATCCGTTTTCCCACTTTTCCACTAGACTGTTGAGACTAGTCTCTGCAAGAAATTCGTCGTTATCTAAACTGTCAATGATACCAACAAAACCTCCTTCATGTCTTTCACTTGAAGGTCAGAATTCCTTTCAGGCCTCTTTCTTCTTGGTTGGATATTATCTTCATCATCATTACAGTTAACATCACCATCAAAAACTTCTCTTAATTAGAAGAAATAGTTGCTGTTAGGGCATGGACGTTTTGGTGGAGTTAAATTACCCCTTTGTTTGAATAGCATTTCAGCTGTTGGTAATCAAAATTCTGCAAAGAAAAATCTAATCATATTAGTTGATAGTAATTGTACATGTACATCTTATGTTGTCAGGTTGATATTAGAGCTCCACCGCATTCTTCATTATACTTTAATTTTTTTTAGTTTCCTTACTCTTGGAAATAAAAATCTTGCCAACAGGGGTCATGGCACACTGTACTGATTTAAATATACTATGTGTAAAGGTGAATGTTTTTGTGAGTGACAGTATACCTTATCTTTGTCCGTGTCAATTGGTTTCTTTGCAGCTATCCAGGTCTATCTCCCCAAACTGAGTCGGTCAGGTCATACAAATGCCATATCTTCCTGTCTCTTCCAGTAGCTTTCAAATCATGCAATTTCACATCACTTGGACCAAGTAACAAGTAACCATTAAATAATTCTATGTACCGGTATCCTGAACTACCAATTAATTTTAATCTGCATGTTCTACTATGGCGTGTACACTTTCCTTGAAGGCAAATGCCTGCAAGTCAAAGAATAAAACGTAATCACATGATTTGAAGTGCAATTTGGGATAAATAAGCATGTAAAATATTCAAAGGCTAACATGGGCGAGTGCAATTTGTGGTCATTGACAATTTTATATAATCTAATCTGCATGCGATGAATCATGCGATTACTTAAAAATATACAGTACTGTGCAAAAGAAATGCAAACAGAATTCGGTGATTTTCATTCTTTGGTCTCGTAAAAAAAACAGCGCTTGACATCATTTGAGTGTCTCTTTTGTTACGACAAAATCCGAAAATTGAACTTGAAAAACATGAATAGAAGGGGTAAGTTTCTAAAGAAACTGTGTGCTGCGTCGGCGGGAAGTATAACAAGATAATTTGGTGCGGATTCGCTCCGACAAACGACTAACTCGTGAAACGTCAGCTTTCGAATCTCTTTATGGTGGCCAATTCACATTATCAACCCAGTTGATAAAACCAAATTATCTAATGGAAAAACATGCAATGATGGCATTTCTACATCAGCACAAATAACTTAATCTTACCTGAACCCACCAGCAGTAAATTTTTCAACTCACGAAATATGATTTTGGACTGTAGCTTGTTAATACTACGATCTGGCTTGGCTTTGCCTGTGTGGTCTAGGTAACACAGACTCTTTTCTGGAACCATCCTCCACCGAAATGATATCGGTGCTTTGGGCACACTGTTGTTCTTGATATATACGCCTCATCATACTCAAATACACCTGCCCTTGTCAGTATTAGGTCATATTCTGTGTTGTCTAAGGTATCAATAACAAATCAGCCTGAATAATTGGTTGGACCCACAGAATTTTGCAGTTTTTCTCACGCAATTTATAAGCAACTGTTTTTGCTAGTTTAGCGTTTACAAGATTTAAACTCTGTCTATTAAACAACTATCAAAAGAACACAACTTTTGACCTGAAATTCACAAAATAATACATATTTGAATGGCACTGGCAAAAAATCAGTGCTGTCGAAGTGCCCGAACCCGCGATTTCCTTTTTTATACTTAGGCCCCGTCCACATGTATCTGGAGATTTTTGTATCCGCAAATTTTTTTATGCGGATACAAAAATATCTGCGTCCACGCGTAGCGTATCCGATTCGTATCCGCACATCTCAAAGGATTAGTCAACAGAGCATGCGCATTACAAAGAAAGCTGAGCCTGTGATAATTTTGGCGCCAAATTCGCGGCTTTCTTGTTTGTTTACTTGAGGTTTCAACACGTGTGAGCTTGAAGAGCGGAAAAAATTCCTGTTAAAAAACGCCATAAAAAATGTCTCAATTAAGAGAAAAACAGAAAAAAACCAAAGACAACTCATTTGTTTGGACGGACGATGAAGTATTGCTGCTTCTTAAAGTGACATTGGATTACAAAACAGCAAAGACTATGGAAAATATCGATTGGGAGTCGTGCCAAACCAAATATTCTGACATTTTAGATCTCTTCAATGACCAATATCCTTCACAAGAAAATGCTTCTTCAATTGGGAAAGATTACCCACATAAGAAAGGGGAACTAACTAAGTCAATTTTGACTTCCAAGCTGAAACATATTCGTTAAAAGTTCCGTCAGGCTGTTGACAGTGGTAGAAGAAGTGGTCATGGCCGTGTTGTTCTGTTATACTTCGAGCAATGCGAGTTAGTCTGGGGTGGTTCGCCTGCCACAGAAACCATACCGTCAAGAGTAGAATCTACAGATATTGATGATACCAATACTACTCCTGAATCTGTTAGTACTAAGTCTTTTGACAGTGAGGACGATTCATTTAATGCTGACCAGGAGTCAGTGGGTAGTCCTGAGCCAACACAACAAGCTTCATGCAATTCAAGTAGTAAAGACGTCAACGAAAGAAGAGACTTACTAAATGCAAAATTGAAAGAATACAAAGGCGAAAAGTTGAAAAGAAAGCTACCAGTAGATAACCAGCTCTTAAATGTGTCTCAAGAGGAGCTTAAAATTAAAAAGCAGCTATTAGAAAGGATGGACAATATGGACAAAGCCCATTTGAATCACATGGAAAAACTAACAAATAATATGGAGAAGCTCACTGGATCCATATCAGAAGGATTTGCTATTCTAAGGCAAATGATGTGCCAAGCCCCTGGTATGCAGCCACACTATATGGCACCACAGCAAAATTACATGTATAATATGCAAGCACCACCCCAAAGACCCATTGATGACAACTCAAGAAACTCGAACAGAGGACATTCTTCTTATACCCAGTCTTTGTTTTCCAAAATGCCAAAATACATGTGTATAAAAATACATAAGAAAATTTGTTACTGTTAATTTAATACCACACATTTCTATTATTTTGTGAAGTTTTGTGAATAAACTTTCAAGTACAATGATTGTCATTTGATTTATCCTTGAATGGTCCAATAGAGTGATTTTCATCCGTCTGTGAAATAGGAATTGTACAATTAGATACTATTACCCCCTATTAGCTCCTAATAGTCTAACTCATGACATGCGACAAACTAATCACAGGTAAACACGGTGAGTACACACTTCATTTCACACCCTGTAATTTTTGGGAATAACTCCCCCGCACGATTTACGAAAGCCTTGTTCAAAGGACTCACACTTAAAAGAACAGTATGGACTGAATTTTTTTGGTATAATCTTGCCTTTTGGTAGCCTACTACATCCTTATAGTTACTATTAAACACTGACTAGTAGTAATTGTTTCACAGACGGATGAAAATCACTCTAGCAGTACACTGATGCAACTATCGTTGGCTATTAACCCATTAAGGCTCTATATTATTGCTTATAGTTCTACTAATGAAATTGTTGAAATTGAATTTTTAACTGAGCTGATTATTTCCTGTAAAACATGAACATATTTAAACTCCACGAGATTTCTTTAGCTTGGATTGCAAAGAATAGAATAACAAAGGCTCAAGCCTATAAGCCTAGTGAAAAGGATTATCATGAAGTTCATAGAACACCCTAAAATTCTCTGATTGTCTTGCTTCAGAGCACTTGTTATAGATTATAATTCAAATTGTATCACATTCTGGAATTTACGTCATCTCACTTGCATGATGATATTTCAAATGTTTACTGCTCTGAATATAGAAGTCCACATTCCAAAAAAAATAAACCGTCCTATTTCAAATTACTCATATGAGTGATTTTCAAAATAAATTTTTCCCCTGATATACACTTAAATAATAAATGTTCAAACCCCTCATCTTTAAGGGTCAAAGTACTGTGTAAGAATGCGCCTTATCTTCTTCCCTCCAACTTCATTGCAGTCAGTTCGGTAATTGTTAGGGTTTACAGGTGGCTGGAAACTTCTATCGTAATCGATGGCTGAAGCAACCTTTTCTTCTCCAATCCTCTCATTGTTTACCTCACAGAAATTATGAAGAACAAAACAGGCATAGATGACATTTGGCAGCTCAGTTAGGTTGATGTCCATGGCTCGCCTAAGTACACCAAATCGTGCTTTTAATCGGCCATATGAACATTCAATCACCATACGTGACTGGCATAGTGACATGCCGAAGTACTGCTCTTGAACTGTGGAGCCACCATTTGAGTATTCCTTCATAATATAAGGCATCAGGGGGTATGCAGGGTCTCCAAGCAGCAAAACTGGAATTGGTTCTTCATCAGGAAGCACCTGTTGTCTACATGTTGGGATGGTCTCGTTTTTAAGAAACAAATTGAGCTTTGAATTGGAAAAGACTCTGGCATCATGGACACTTCCTGGCCATTTCACTACAACATCCATAAAACAATATTTATAATCACATGCAGTTTGAACATTTAAAGTGTAATGGCATTTTCTGTTGATATAATCTGTCGAGTTGGTTTTGGGCTGTTTAATTGGTATATGAGTCCCGTCTATGGCGCCTAAACACTGGGGAAAACCATGTGCTCTATGGAACTTCTTCATCAGGTTTGTCACTTCTTCTTCTGTGAAAGGAAGTTTTATATACTTCTTTCCCAGATGTACAGTGATGGCCTTACATACTTTACGTACAATCTTAGATACAACTTGTCTTGAAATACCAAAGGCATTGGCTGTCTTTCGCAACCTTCCCTCGTCACTCAAGTAATACAGCGTGACTGCAACTTGTTTTATGACATCCACTGGAGTACTCATTATTGTTTGTTTTCCTTCGATATATGGCCTCAGTTCATCGGCTAATTTGTAGAGACAACCACGGCTCATTCAAAAATTCTCTCTCCACTCTTCCTCAATCATTATTCCACCCACGAAGTTGTCCCACCAAGCACTAGTTCTTCCTGGTCAGACCCAGAATCTTCGTGGCCGTGCTAGTTGTCTTCCCGCTCTTTTGACAAGTCTTTGGCGTCTGATTCCTGAATCAGATATGGCTAGAAGCCACATAATGCTTAGACGTTTTCTCAAGTAGTTAAAGTTTAGATTTAACATTGCAACATTTAGTTCGAGACACGCTATTAGGCTTGAAAGTAGTCCTAGTAGCATTGAACACAACGTTTCTGCTCGCCGCCATTTTGGAAAATCTCGCGCGGAAAAAGACTGGTTCTGATACTGTGATGTCAGCGTATACAAAAATATACGGATACGAGCGTCCACACGTATCCGGATACACAGCGTATACAGAAATTTCCACTCTGGAGAGCATATACAGAAATCTCCGGATACACCGAGCGTATACGGCGGACACGTGTGGACGCTAGGTGTATCCGCTTAAAAAAATTGGCGAATACAAAAATCTCCGGATACATGTGGACGGGGCCTTAGCTAGCTGAAGTTGGACATTTTGACACTGGGCTATTAGTCACGTCATTTGGAACTTCAAAGCGTCATTTCTTCCCAAATAAAACCCCCATGACCTCCATATTGCAGGTATTGCTTTTTCTGTAGGAACTCAACCTGCAAAATGTTTTGGAAGAAAATTGGAAAGAAAATTATTTTTGTCATCCGCCACAAAAAAGCTTTTTTTCTCGATTTTTACAGTCAAGCTCTCTTTAACTGACATCAACCTGATTTCCTTCACTATATTTGATGTTATGAATGTATCAGGGACTGAGATTTTTTGTTTGTATGTCGAGAGCTTCCAATGTCCTATTTTGTTTTCACTTCCATCATTGACATCTTGGATGCCTGAAATATTTACACGAAAGTCTTATCAGAGATGCTTCTTATGTCAACAAAGTCTGTCGCACTATTTAATTTCATTCCAAGAATCACCATGTCAAGTCCATGTTCCATTATTATATATTCCATTATATTTGTACTAAATAAGCGTGTGTCTTTTTTTTTTTTCTGAATTTCTGTTTTGTTTGTAATTGTAAGAAATTCTTTTTATCAGTCAGGCTTAACGCTTAACGGCAAGAGAACACCACAAAAACATTTGTAAACTAGCTTAGAGTTGAATCACCCAGAGTGACTTCACAAAACCTGTGAAACACAGTTAGGCAACATTGTTTAATAGTAAAAAATATACGAAACAAAACAGTGGAATTAGTATCCATGGTGTTTAACGGTTTCTAAACCAGTCTAACCTGTGAGATAGCAATAAGGCAAATAGACCCTATCATATTAGACACTCAATATATACTACTTCCATTGTTTTACGGGTATTGCGAAAGCAATCTACCATCCTGGATATCCTGATCACTGATGAGTTTATTCCTTTTTCAATCTCCGTTTCAATCACCCTTCAACAGTTGTACATTTATTTCGTANTTTTTTATTTTTTTTTATAATTGTTTATTATAATTTTTCATTCTTTAAATATTTAAGCAAAATTTTTATCCTTTATGCTTTTTTTGTCATCAAATTCTGTCGTATTATTTAATTTCTACTTAATAATGATCATATAATGTCTATTTTTTATTATTATATTTTCCATTTAGTTTATAATAATTACACGTGTGTTTTTTTTTTTTTTTCTGAATTTCTGTTTTGTTTGTAATTGTAAGAAATTCTTTTTATCAGTCAGGCTTAACGCTTAACGGCAAGAGAACACCACAAAAACATTTGTAAACTAGCTTAGAGTTGAATCACCCAGAGTGACTTCACAAAACCTGTGAAACACAGTTAGGCAACATTGTTTAATAGTAAAAAATATACGAAACAAAACAGTGGAATTAGTATCCATGGTGTTTAACGGTTTCTAAACCAGTCTAACCTGTGAGATAGCAATAAGGCAAATAGACCCTATCATATTAGACACTCAATATATACTACTTCCATTGTTTTACGGGTATTGCGAAAGCAATCTACCATCCTGGATATCCTGATCACTGATGAGTTTATTCCTTTTTCAATCTCCGTTTCAATCACCCTTCAACAGTTGTACATTTATTTCGTATAATTCGTCCCCAATCACACCTGGCTCCCTTGCTCATTTTGTCTTCCTTTACCCTTAAAGAATGGCACTTCTTAGCATACACTAGAATATAAAGGAAAACATCAAATAATTGTAAATACCTGAAATAAAAGCTCAACACTAGTGGCGTTTGTATGACAGGACATAAACGGTTAGGAAGAAGAGAAAAAGCGAAAAACTGGGGAGAAGACATAGTAGATCATCATAGATAAATCGATTTCTTCTTTCCCTAAACCAAGATTCCACTTAAGGACAGTTTACAGAGTGCTTTGAACCCCGGGGCTTTGAACACAACCACACTGTTTTTTGTCAATTCACGTTTATCCTGAAATGACTGATATCTTACCTATGATTGCATGGACAATCCTCTGATCCAGCTCATTCACTTATTGTGTTCAGCCCAACTTTCTTGTAAAGAGACTGACTTCAGAAGTAGTCAAGTCATCATGGCAAATTTTCTGAATTCTGGTGCTCCCAGATGTAATCTCCCGCATTAGACTCAAGGAAAATTGGCTGATACATACTTTTTTAATGTCACCGTAGAATTAAATGACAAAGAAATTAAATCAGCCCTTATCATTCTCGTCCGAACTAGATAGTTATATGAATACTTGGCCCTGTTCCTCAAAAGATGGTTAAGTTTAACCCAGGATTAAGCCAAATTTTATGCAAGGTTTTCTTGTCTAAGAACACATTACTCGAGCTTACAAAATACTTTTGTGTCTTTAC